TGTGGGTCCAGACTCAACGTAAACAAAGCTCTCAGCTGAATCTGTTAAAAACCTTGTTGAATTCTGAGTCATGTGATTGACATGTATTCTGTGCATGTAAACAAGCATTGATGAACTGGACATGTGTAAAATCTCTGAGAAGCCATTAAGTTGGAAACATAAGAGTTAATCTGCTGCTAAACTCAAAAGAAGACGGAGCTCAGTTTTCAAACATGAACTCGTGAGTTTTATATTTTTCAGTCGCTTCAGTTCTATTTTTATAAATAACAAACACACGGGGTAGTTAACCTGTCACAAATTGTACATACAGGTGTCTTCATCAATTATTAATAAAAACTGTGCAGATAAAGTTGAATACTTTATGAATTAGTTTTATCTGGTCTTCATAACTTTTCAATCTTTTAAAATTTGTCTGAGTCAGGATTAAATCATTCTCAGCACTTGTCTTCATTTTCAGTTAAATCACGTTATTAATATGCTCACAGCATTTAAAGTGCACCATTAAAGTTTTCATTTTAATCTTATGAATAAGTAATAATCCAATCCATTGTGAGTTGTTTGACTCGTGACAAACCCTAAAAGTTTAAAATCAAAGCAGCTGGACTTCTGCTCTGCTGTAAAACACAATTAAAGTTTCAGCTGGGGAACTTCTACAGTCAGAACTGGAGAATGTGGAGCTCCAAGCTTGAACCTGCGCTAACACACGCTCTTTAATTATGATGCTCAAAGTTGAGATTTTTAAGCCAAACTGGTAAATAAAAAAATAACTTTCAACATTAAACTTCCTGAAACACGTTCTTCCTGTCAATGTTTAAAAGTCATTAATCCCACACACAAGGCTGAGCATTTTTAATCTTTTAATTTCATGCTGCAGTTAATCAGTACAAAATATTTCATGCAGCATCAGCACTTTCAAAAGTGTAAAACTTGTCCAGAAAAATCACGTCACGGATCAATCAGCGCATGCCAAACAGGATCACAACCACCCCATAAATCTGTTTGTTCAAAACTCTACAAAATTAGAATGTTTTCACTTCATATCACCAAGAAAAATACTTTAAATTTCCTCAAAAATATACCCACGTCACATCCACAGGTTAAACGTGCAGGCGTGGAACTTCACAATCATGCTTGTGGCTAAAAATTTTAAAACATAAAAAATATAACAAAACATGAGGTAACAGCTTGTAAACATGTTACTTTGTTCAAGTTGGCAACATTCAAATCACTTCAAAATACTCAACAGATCTGTGGAAACGGCCGCTTGGATTTTACGCACGAACTTTACGCACAAGCATTGGTCGTTGGTCTGTTTTCCTCGAGTCGTTTTCGGAAGGAAATCTGACATTTTTGCATATTTTTCCCCTCTGGGACAGACAAGACGTCTTGGATGGATATATGCAGATGCGGAACTTGATCTGTCTCCCACAGAGCCTGATGTGTGTCCTTTTAGCCGAGCCCGATCATCACAGTCTCCACGTCTTTGGAAGGTCTCCGGTCTTTCACCAGGAAGTTGATCATGCTTTCTGATTTGATCATCAGGTTGCAGCCGAGGAAGAAGATCCCAAACATGACGGTGAGCGACAGGACGCACAGCACGGCGATCTGCACCACGCGCATCACGAAGAGTTTGCGCTCATCTTGCGGCAGCACGAGCGACCCCCCGCCGTCGCCGGTCACCACGCTGTCCGTGCCGTTACTTGACAGAGTAGCCAGAGCTGCCGCGAGGCTCTGGCTGCCGTTAACCAGCGCGTCCTGGGTCGCGTTGAAGAGGGAAATGTTCATGTTTCCGCGCGACTTGTCACCAAAAAGACACGCGGCTCCTGCTGACAGGGACACGGCGTCACCACAGAACCTGCGCTCCGAGGAAAACGTTGCCTCATGTGAGTTTCTGGACAAAAAACAACAAGAAGGAAACACAAGACGCTTCCGAGGTCCGGGTCTACCACCGCACATGGAGTTTAGTTTTAGTGCGTAATGGTCACATCCAGTGAGAGGGCTGCGTCAAAACAAACAAACGGATGATGTTTTATTATTACAATTATTCAAAGCTGCTTCTTTTATTTTCAGGAGTTCAGAAGTGAGCGCGCAGAGTGCGACACATTTCCCTCGGATGGAACAAGAGACACTCCCCGTGCGCCCGAGCTGCCTGCGCGCGCTCCCTCTGTGCTGCTTTTTAACGTGATCATGGACCACCTGCACCTCCTCACAGAGAGGAGTCAGGTGGTCCAGGACCAGAAGCTGGACAGCGCGCCCTCTTTATTTAATTATGAGTTTATAAAAAGTCCCGTGAACTTGTCTGAAATTAAACTTTCAGGCAAAACTGGGAGTTGATATTTTATTTTTTTCAACTTGCTGTCAATATTTGTTTACTGTGCCCATCCTAAAGGAGCTCGGTCACGTGACTAGAGCTTTGTTTGCAGACATTTCTGGATCCCTTTAACTAAATTGGAAAGTGGTGGAGTAAACGTTCAAACTGAAGCATTTCATGTAGTTCAGGGTGATTTTTTTTTGTTTTTCATAGAGTACCTTTAAAGTTCACACCTCACTCCCTTTAATTCAGACTTTCATAAACTCTAAAGGCTTTTCAACAAGATTAAAGTGAAAACTCGAAGCAATAATGAACCACTGCAGAGAAAACTTGAACTGAGATAATATGAGCTCAGTGATGAAGACTTGAACTAAAATATACGACCCAGCTCCAAATTTGTTACAAATTTCCCTCTTTGCTTTTTCTATTTTTCTTTTTAACTTTGCAGCTGAAACTAAATGGAGGAGCATTTAATTACTGAATGTCTTTCAGAAATAAATTTATCTGGTTTGGCTGTTGTGACGTGAACGTGAAGCTTCATCTGGAAACAAGAATCGAAGAGTTTCTGCAAATTGTCAGTGAAAAACGAAGATGTTCTCCTTCGTGCACGGCTGTTCGAGGTTTCATTCAGTGAAATCAACATTTTATTATTAAATGTTTGGTTCAAAAGAGAAAAATACTCTGAGTTTAACTGTTTATAGTTTAGAAAATTAATGTATGTAATACGTTTACCTGACATCAAACTGCAATAAAAATGTTTTTGCTCTTCAGATCAGTGCTAAATTCAAAATAACTTTATTGCTGGTGCAGCTTCTCAGTCATCCAAGACATGAGTCGAATCAAAGCAGCTTCATTTTCTAGTTACTGAAAACGCTGCACTTCTCATTTAAGGAGCTTTGCTGAGACCTTGAGTACACAATTTCATTCCACCTCATCACATGTGATGCGAATGACAATAAAGTCATCTTCATCCTCTCTGAATTAAAACAGAAAGGTTCAGGGTTAAAAGCTTTTGATGCTGGATTAATTTCACTGTCAAGATTAAGATTTTAAGGACCCAGACAAACTCACAGCAGGCTAGTGGGCAGACAGGTGAGCGCCACAAAACTTTAATAAAACAATAGAAAGGGCAGAAAAACACACAAAACGTTGACGACAGGTGCTGCAAATGGCATAAGTAGAGACGTTATTTTCCAAATGTGGTGATGAACTGATGAGGGGCTAAATCTGCAAGAACTGGGAGACTGTTAGGGGAGTACAACGAGAAAAAAGCACCCGCTCCAAATGTTATCAGCCTTTAAATGGCCGTTATTAGTTATCATCTCCATAGGTTGCATTCAGACTGTCCCTCCTGTACCTCCTAGTAGGTTTAAAGGTACATTTTTATCACTGATAATAGGGTCAGAAGGTTATGGGCCAGTACTCTGGGTCAGGTGTGAGGTTAGGTTTAGGAAAAGGGTTAAATAAAGCTAACACCCCCCCCCCCCCCCGTCTTAGATGCGTGCAAAGCTGCATATTATCAGCGATAAGAACGAACCTTTAAACCTACCGAGGTAGGAGGGACAGTCTGAACGCTGCCTATGGGGATGATAGCAACTAATAATGGTCACTTAACGGGATAAGTTTCGAAGACGCTGGAAAATAGTAACCAAGAAAGTAAAAAATACAATAAATGACCAAAAATACTACGAACACAAGGCAGTAAAAAACAAATATCACAGCAATCAAAAAGGATATTTATTATTTTTATTCTTTTAGGCTACCACCAACACTTCTCACTGCAGAGATCTCTCATTTTCCACAAATCACATGAGCTGTTGTACAAAATGTACATTTCTTTGTTTTGACGGTTGCAAATTTCCTTCAAAAAATATTTTTTTGTTCAGTTTTGCTTCAAAATTCTACACATTCTGATCAAATAGGGTGTTCTCTGAAAGGAAGTTTCAAAAACTCAATTATAAATCAAAGAAGTCTCCAAAGACAACTTCCTTAAACTTCAAATAAAATCAAAACAAACACAAATGCATTTTTTTTTTAAAACAACTGAATTATATGAATGCAAACGTGAATAATTGCAATAATTAATCTGTAGCGTTTTCTCAAAATATCAGCTGCTGGGACTTGGAATTTGTTTGCTTGAACATAAAAAGCCGTAAAATTAATTAGCAGCTGATAATTTCTGTACAAACAGAAATCTGTCATGAGCCTCAAGTCTTTAATCGTGGTGGCAAACAAATAAACAGTTTGTGTTTAATCCATTTATTATATTAGGGTTATTTTTTATTTAATTGCAGTAAAAACTTTGGAAAAATATGATGGTTCTGGTAAATATTTTCTTTTCCAAAAGGACTAAAAATGTAAAATAATTCTTTCAGCCAAGCTGCATGACAACAAAACTTTTGTCTTCGACGAGGATTTAAACCACAAATGTCATAATTTATGAAATTAAAAAGCAAATCATAATAGTTTAATCAGCCGAGCTGAAGCTTCATGAAAGCATGGAGTTTTGCTCTTTAACAGCTTCTGGTTGGCTCCTCGGAGGCTGCAGGATTTTAGGCGAACGCTTCACGTTTCTTTGAGGTTTGTTTCAAACGGCCCCTTACGGTCGCTCATGTGTGGATACTGTAAATTCATACGAGGCTGCGTTCACGAACACGAGTGTCTGACTTGTTTCTAAGCAACAGACGACCTGTGAGCTCGCTGACAGATGGTTGGTGAAGTTATTTTAGTTTAGAGGAGAAACGGGGGCCGTTTCAGGGGATGAGATGCCTTTACTGAGGGAAAATGATGCATTCAAGACACATTAACTTGCAGGGAGGGGCCACGAGATGATGAGCGAATGAATTGTTATGAAACGGCTGCTGGAGCGTCATTTTAAATTTATTATCAACTCTTTAAAGCTGAAATATAAACTGCTGTGTTAAATATAAATATATATCCTAATTTGTTGAAAACAGTTTAGCCAAGTTTCTGCAGAAAAGCCGGAGTTATGTTCTAGTCGAGGTTTTATCTTCAAGTGTTGATTGTAGCTTGAAGCTGCTGAGCTGAGCACAATGAATTTGGGCGACATCACTCAAGACGTCTTACCCATCGTGCATTTGTATTTTGAATAAACCGAGCAACAATATGGAAACTGTCTAAGTTCATGTGCAATAATCCGGGTACTAAATCCAGCAAAGTTCAGTCTGGACGGGTTCTTTTTTTGCTGAGACGTTTCGTCCTTCATCCAAAGGACTTCATCGTTTCCTCACTGGCTCTGTAACGAGGCGCACGCGTTTCTTCCCTCTCCCTGTTCTCCTCCTGCTTTTTTGCTCTCTGTCTGTGTTTCGGAGCAGCTCCTATTTTTTATTTTTTTACTCATCTTCTGAAATGAAAACTACTGTTTTGGATCTGACCAACTGGACTTTCGACGCAAATGACAAAATCCTTTCAACAAAGTGACATGGTCCTGGAGAACCTTCATCTGCTCGGACGACACGCATGCAGCTGGATATATCTCTGGGGAAGTGGATGTGTTGTGTCTCTGCTGTTGATCAAGGATGCTGAAGTTGCATAGAATTGCCTTTGTGATACAGGTTTCCTGTTTTTGGAATAGTCTGGATCCTGGTTCATCAACATACAAAGAAAACAGCCGCAGCTAATTTGGCTCTCGTCAGGCTGCTGTCCATGTGAAGGTTGGTTCGTGCTTCGAGGACTCAAAATCAGCTGATTTACAAGCGCAACCGTAAGATGGATGTGAGTCGAATCGCAGTCCACCTGCGGCTTTGGGACTCATCAGCATGAAAACGACCTTAAAGAGGCTCGTGAGCATGGCCCAACAGAATGCACCCTAATCTGGACATTTCAGACCTTGGAAGTCAGTTCAGACTCAAAGGGTGACCAGAACAATAAATCAACAATTGTGGATTATCTGAATGTGACTCCCCGGTTGACCTCAGAACAGACCGACTTATCAATTTCTCCTGGGAAATGTGTAAACTAAGTAAATGCTTTGTTTACCCCCCCTCCCCCTCTGTGGAGGCTTATCAGAACTGTGCCAGCTGACCTTCATCTTATCAGGACAATGGACTGTCTGTTAGTGCTTCATGGACCGCCTCATCATAAATGCACATGTAACGTGTTCATAATGTGCTGCTGGCAGAGTTTTGATGTCTTAAATCTTGTCCTGATAGAACAAGGTGTGAAGAGATCTTTTTTTGTAACGCCACCATCCTCTCCTCATGGCTTTGTCCCTATTTCTATGTAAAATATGTTTTCTGAACAGATAAGAAGGCCGCGCTTTATAGCAGCAGCTTCGTGCACTCCGCCCGTCTTTCAGACGGCTGTACGGACATGTTCTCGTTGTATCTCGGTGCAATGATTATTAAACTTATTCTGGTTCTGGTTCTGGTTCTGATCAGTACGAGGAGCCACAACAAACTGAGTCCCACAAGCAGCACACTCACATAGTGGGCCAACCAGTTTGCGGGTGATAAGACGGTTTCTGGGGCCCGTCCTCTCCCCCGTCGACTCCTCTGAGGCCGCCATGGCCAAAGTGGTTCAAAACATCAAAGTGCATGCTCTCTATGAAAACTGGTTTCTCTCAGGATCAAAACGATAGCGAATACCTTCAGGCAACGTTGGAAAATGTTGTAAAATCTGTGAC